TCTCTCTCTCTCTCTCTCTCTCTCTCTCTCTCTCACACACACACACACACACACACACACACACACCTCACTGTAGAACTGTTTAGAACTGTTTATCACAGCAAAAGTTGAAAACAACCTAGCTGTCCATCAATAGATTAATGTTTAAATAAACAATGGTAATCCATACAATTGTTTGAAGAATAAGAATAGCTATATTGACATGAGAGCCATTTTGTATTGTTAACAGTAAAAAAAAAAAAAAGTAGGTTAAGCACTTTTCATTTATTGGACATTTAAAATTCCTTTTCTATAAAATATTTATTTATTCATTTTTCTATTGATCTGTACTACTCGATAGTTAGTTCTTTCTAATTTGTAAGAACTCCTTATATATTATGGGTGTTAATGTTTTGTTTGCCATGTGTAGCAAATGTTTCCTCTTGGTATGTTAGTTATTTAATTATATCCTCATGCTTTTTCCATGCATATTTTTTCTTATAGATGTGGTAAAAAATCTATTAACTTTTATTTTATGAATTTATCCCTAGTGATTATATATTTTCCTGTAGTTTCTTGAAGCATTTTTAGGATTATTTATTTATTACTTGTAGCTGTTTAATCCTTCTGGAGAGGGTTGTTTTATGAAAAATTGGAAAACTCTGCTCAGCCTCACTATATATACGAATTAAAACAAGCTATGCAATTTTTCATTTATCAGATTAGCATATATTAAAAATATTGATAATATCTTGTGTGGGGGAGAAGGAGAGGAAACGGATCCTCCTGTGTATGGTGGATAAGAGTGTAAATACAGTATTGTTGCATGGGTGGGGGAGAGGGCTGAAAATGGGTGTCTACCAAATTTCTAAGCATCCATGCTCTTGTATTGTAATCAGAAAGGCCATCTGTAGGACTCTATCTTAAAGCAATATTTAAAAATACATAGATAAATGTCCAAAGAAGTTGACTGTGCCATCATTTAATATATTAAAAATAGGGGAAAAATACAACTAAATAGAGAAATGGTAAAATAAATCGCAATTATATTATGAATACTGCATAGAAGATGCTGGCATTATTCACAGTAGCTAAGACATAGAAACAACGTAAGTGTCCTTCAATGGATGACTGGATAAAGAAGATGTGGTACATATATAAGGGGTAGTACTCAGCCATGAGAAAAGATGAAATACTGCCATTTTCTTCTACCTGGATCAATCTTGAGAATATCATGCTGAGCAAAATAAGTCAGAAGGAAAAGGATGAGAACCATCTGATTTCACTCATATGTAGAATATAAAACAGAAAGCAACAAACAAACAAAACAAACAAAAACTCAAAGACAGACAACGGGAAGGGGTGAGGGGAGGTTGAAGAGGGTAAAGGGGGTCAACTATATGGTGATGGAAGAAAATTAAACTTTGGGTGGTGAACACAATGCAATATACAGATGATGTATTATAGAGCTGTACACTTGAAACTTATTAACCAGTGTCACCCCAATAAATTAAAAAAGAATGCCATGCTGTTAATAAAAAGAAGGAAGTGAATCTGATGTATTGAACTAGAATAGCTTCAAAATATCTTGTGAAGTTAATAAAACAACAAAACAGGATGCTAGATGTAATAAATTCAAATGGAAAAAACCTATCTGCATACATACAAATATACACACACATCCATAGTTTTTCTAAGTACTGGAAGATGATCATCTTTATGATGATTCTAAACACATACTGATATATGGACCTATAACTTATTCAGAGCTGAAAAAATAGGACTACATATCAAGAATTGATAAAAATTAAAATAAAGGGGAGAGAAAAAAAGCACTTCAAAGGTGCTGTGATGTCCTACCTTCATCGAGGTACCGACTGGTCAAACAGCAAATTCCAACAACGTGAGTAAGTGTTTTACAAGGAGGGGAGAGGGGTTCTATGCAGGTCGCCTCTCTTATGGTAGAAGTGAGAGGGCCTGACCACCTACATCAGGGGGATAGAACTTAGAGAGAAAATAAACAAACTAGCAATAGTAGGAAGCAGAACAGGAATTAGGAATTAAAGAAAATGTAAAAGTCTAGGAAATGTATCCAAGGAAGTCAAAATTTCAATGACTATTTCCCAACAAAATATTACTGGCTTAATGATATTATTGGCTTAATTACTAAACAATCAGTTTAAAAAGTACAGCTGTATTTATAGGGTTGTTAGAACAAAATAACTGAAATTAGGTACATTCAGGAAAATACAGGTTGCATGGCTGATGAACGTATAACAGGGCTGGTGGCTACTCTCCCAGTTTTGGCTAAAATCTCTACTTTGAATATGCCTGTAGTCTTTGTGGTTAGATGAAGCAGCAGTAGTAGCAGAAAGATGTCAGAATCCCAGAGAAATAGCTCAGGTTTGCAAGTCACTATTTAGTCCCTTACACTCTAATGGCTGGATGATGAGGCACATGGCGGCTGAACTTCCTGTACTGTCTTCAACTTAGTTTCTGAATTCCACAACTAAGTTGGATTTTTACTTAGGTCCTAATAAAAAGACACTTCCCCACAGATTTCAGTGGTAATTTCCTCATTTTAAGATTGATATAATACTGAATATATATAATGAAGTCCAGTTACTTTTATACCAGATACTTCTAAGTGTTCCATCATACAGGCAAAACATTTTCATTTCTTTTTCCGTATGAATAAAGAATTTGACTTTAAAAAAGCCTAGTGACATAACAATCTGTTCATTTGAAAGCTAAACATCTGTTATACAGAGGATTAAGGTGAGACTCTACACCAACATCATTTTCTTCCTCACCCCTCACAGTTACTTTCATCAACCACAGGTTTACAAGGGAGTTGATAATCCGAGCCTCCCTGTGCTTTCCCTTGGCCACTTCTGT